AAAAAAAAAGATACACAACAAAACATTTTCCAATTCAACAAGTTATACATGTATAATTTAGTGCTATTGATTATCTCTTAGTGTTTGTCACAATAATTTTTAAAGTGTAGCTAGTAACAAGATTGTCATTGTGAAAGGCAGCAGAAATTTTAGATTAAAAGCATTGAAAGGGACATAACTAAATGCAATGTATGGTTCCTATGATCCTGAGTTGAAATAGAACAGTTTATAAGTTTTTCTTAGAACAACTGGAGAAATTTAAATAATGACATAGATAGTCGCTAATTTTATTAATGTTAAATTTCCTGAATACTTATATAAATTTCTTGATAATTACAGCTATGGTAGTTATGTAGGAGAATGCCACTTTTCTGAGAAGATCCCTGCTGATGTATTTAGGCATAACATGTTTCAGTGTCTATTAATGACTCTCAAATGTCAAAAGGTTAGAAGTAAGGATTGAAAGAAAAATAATTTTTTATCAAATATATAGTCAGTGTTCAAGCTTTTATTTGTCATAATTGGTAAGTCTAAATCTGTTGAGTCCTTTTTTCCCCCCGTTGTAACTGAGCCATTTGTAGTTTTTTACAAATTGGCGTTTGCTGTTGCATCCCCTGTGGTGTAATCTAACATGTTCTGTCTTCTGTTTTTCCCACAAACTGGTAGTTAAGTCTGAGTGGTGATGAGATTCAGGTTTGATTTGAGAGGATCCAGAACATTTCCTAAGTGGTGGTGTTTTATTTTATCAACATTGCTGTCAGGCAGACTCTGACTTTACACGTAGCACAAAGTGGAGCACCCTGCGGCATTCTCAAGCATTTACCGCAGACCGTAGAAGAGACTGCCGCACCTTTCCCCATGGAGCAGAGCCGCTCATGGATTCAAACTGTTAACTTCTTGGCTAGACTTTATCATGACTCCTTCTTTCATCAGAAAACACATTGTTTAGTTGCTCTGTAAGGTTAGCAGCCATTGGTGCGCAATGTTAAAATCCATCAATAAACTAAGGGTTGGGAAGTGTTGCTTGAAACATCATTTCATCTATTTAGCTGCTTAGTGGTGTGCTCATAGAAAAGTCAGGATAAATGTTTGATTCAGTTTCCCCTTTTTTTTAACCACTTCAGTGAGGTAGTTCACTATCATACTCCAGTTGCAGCTAATTAGGTTTTGTTTTGATTTTAGTTTATTGTGAACTCGTGGATTTAAAGATATTTGTAGTTTAATCAGTGTGGTATTATCATTGTTCAATTTACTCATAGGTTTTTGGTTTTTTTTAAAATCATTTTACTAGGGGCTCCTATAGCTCTTAACACAATCCATAGATCCATCCATTGTGTCAAGCACATTTGTACATATGTTGCCATTATCATTTTCGAAACATTTTCTTTCTACTTGAGCCCTTGGTATCAGCCCCTCATTTTTTTCTCCCCATCCCCTCCCTCCCAAAGCCTTGATAATTTATAAATTATTAATATTTTTTCATGTCTTACACTGTCAGATGTCTCCCTTCACCCACTTTTCTGTTGTCCATTCCCCAGGGAGGGGGTTATATGTAGATCATTGTGATCAGTTCTCCCTTTCTCCCCCACCTTCCCTTTACCCTCCTGGTATGGCTACTCTCATTATTGGCCCTGGCTCATGATAATTCTATGAAATAAATACCTGTATTATCTATCTTTTTCCATTAGAAAAAGGTTTAGCAATACTCACCCTAACACTTGTAGCTAGAACATGGCAGAAGTAGGATTTGAACCCAAAGCACTCTGTCTCCAGTACAAGTATTATATTCTTAACACCTATGCTGTTTGCTATGTTGTAGGACTACAGGATAACTGTATATGGTCAAGAAAGGTCTTAAGAAATCAAACTATTATCAAGGGCTCCTGAGGGAGGAGGGAGGGGGGGAAATGAGGACCTGATGGGGGGGTGGCCTTAAGTGGAGAGCAAATGTTTGAGAATGACAAGGGCAATGAATGTACAAATGTGCTTTACACAATTGATGTATGTATGGATTGTGATAAGAGTCGTATGAGCCCCTAATAAAACAATTAAAAAAAAAAGAAATCAAACTACATATTATTAAGCTGAGTGCTATTGTAGGGGC